AGTGCAAATACTGTATGAAAGATTTGTTAAAACAAAACTAGCTGGGAAGAGGCGAGTGGCAGGGAGCAATAGCAACTGAGAAAACATTGTCCAGAGCAGCTTCCATCTGAGCCTCTCCGAGGAACGCCTGCATCTGAATGATTCACTGGAGCTTACAGAACCGGAACCGGAACTGGAACCGGAAAGGCAGTCCCGCAGCCCGAGACCAGACAGCACTTCCGTCTCCAGGGGGCTGTGGGTTGAGAGTGCATCTCAGAGAAAAGAGGATTTGTCCAGAGGCCCTGCCCTGTTTCCCATTAGGTTTCCAAAGAGCTGCTTTGTGTACAAGGCTCGCAGCTTTGAAGACAGCCACGGGACTGGAGGGCAAAAGGCAAGTCTGGACAGCCTGCTTTTAATGCTCTTACTAAGGCCACCCGTGCATAAGGCGACCTTTGAGTCACTCTGCTGTGCTGAAGAAAGGCGGTGGGCAGCTGTGGAGGAGACACCCTGGGTGGCAGGAGCAGGCTGGCATTAGCCTGAGGACAGGCTTTGTGCAGAGCCTGAGCCACAGGCTGGGGACACGGGGAGCAGAGCAGGGAGGGGAGGTGACCGGAATAAGGAGACAGCAGCCAGGATGTGGGCGGGGCCAAACCAGGAAGTGCAGAGTCCACTCCCAGTGGGCTGCCACTCAAGGACAGCGACGTCCTGTGCAGGGCCTGGTGTCCTGCACAAGGGTTACGGGGTGGGAGGCGAGTGAGGAGAAGGGAAGGCTCTCCACACAGCTGCCTCCCCACCCAGCAGAGCTCAGCAGCCACGGAAGGGCAGCAAATCTGCTGGGTGGCTCTTGGGGACCTCTCTGTGGACAGAATCCATCCACGGGAGGCAAGTAGCCACGATTCTACAGGCAAAACTAAACTTGTGTCTCAGAAACTGAGAGTAACTTCAGCTCCTTGAAGACCCTGGCTTCTTAAATGCTCACATCTACTCCACATTGGCTGCCAAGTCCTGTGGCAAATGTCTCACCCAGGAGGAAGAAAAGCCTGGAAAGCTTACGGGGGGCCTTCACGGGGAACAGTGGTATCCATCTCAGCCCACCGCTGGGACACAACACCCCACACTGGCAACTCAGTGGAGGGAGGTTTATTCTGGCTCATGTTATGGGTGCATCGTCCGCTGGCTCCCAGGCAGGAGGCCATGGGGGAAGGGCTGGGGGAGGAGAGCTGCTCACCTCATGGAGGACAGGAAGCAGAGCGATAAGGGGGGAGTCGGCCAGAGAGAGAGACCATCCAGGTCATGCCTCCTAAAAGGAAGTCAGCCACAGGCCCATAACACAGTCCCTTCCCACAGCCCTGCCCCGAGCATGTGAGGCTTTGGGGACATCCAGATATAAAACATAATGAACAGAGATGTACAAAGACCAGCACAGACTTCAGTGCGCAGTTAAAGGGAGCAGGGTGTTCCTGATTTGGTTAGCTGGTTGTCTGGACCATAGAAAAGGAGAGTGAAATACTGTCTTCAGGATTCGCAACAAACACTTGCAGGATCAGGTGTGAGACTGCCAGGCAGCAGCCCCAGGAGCCCCGGACACAGGCAGGAGATGCAGCCGACTTCCGTTAAACCATCTTCTCTACCTCACTGCAGCTGCTGCAGCAGGAAGCCCGAGTCTGGGGACAAACACTGCTTTGCAGCTGGAAGGGGTCTGGGATCTCTTAGCTCAGACACAGAGATGAACAGGAAGTGGTGCCGACAACTGGAAGTGAACGGGCACTGGGTGGCAGGGGTGGCACCAGCACAGGGCAGACAGGCCCGAGAGTGACGTTCCTGGGAGGGGTGTGGAGCAGGGCGGGACACCGGAGCTGTGTGCTACAGTGGGCAGCAGAGGGCAGGCTGTGGCTGTGCCGGGGTGTGGGCGGGACACCGTCAGCTGACCACACGCCAGACGCGGGATGCAGTGGCTGAGTTACTCCCATGTGGCCTGGGAAACTGCTCTGGGGACCTGTGTCCCCAGGAGGCTGTCACTGCCCCACGTCACGGCTCCCAGGCACTGCTCCCAGGCCTGTCCTTCCCGCCTTGGGAGGTCCGGGAGACCAGAGCCTCCCAGGACCTACGAGTCCCAGTCAGTCCGAGACTGTCCCCTTCAGCAGGGACATGAAGGGTCCCGTGCTGATCCGATGCCACTCCTGTCCCGCTCGGATGCGTGGCCCCACCAGTCCCTCCTGTCCTGCCGCACCACCTGGCTGGCCCTGGCTCCAGGCGCTGGCCTCGGTCCTGAAGAACCTCAGGCCTGGGAGCCCGGCCCTGTCCCCCTGGAGGGGCAGGATGGCAGTGAGCCTGCCCCTGGGCACTCTCTCGGGTGGGTCCCACACTCCTTCTGCCCCTCCCCAGGCAGTGCCTGTCCACCTGGTACCCAGTGTCACCAGATGCCCCCACGAGCCACGTGCCTCGCCCAGGAGGCTCCTGGTCCCCACCTCTCCTGTGCCTGGCCCGGCCGGCAGGGTCCCCCAGGGCCTTCCCTCTGCCCTGTCCTCGGCCTCCCACACAGGTGCCATCAGAGCTCTTCGCTGTCCTGCTTGGTGGTCTGGCAACTCCCCCAGGGAGCGTGGGCTCAGCCTCCTCCTGGGTCCGCCTGAGCAATCCTGTGCCCCACACCCGAGCCCATGGAAGACTCGGGAGCAGCAGCTGCCACACGGGAGATTCCAGCACACAGGTGCCTGACAACCTTCAGCCTGCAGCGCTGGGCCCTGCTCTCTCCGGAGCTGCCCACCCGGCTCCCCCTTCTCACCAGGCCCAGTCCCCCAAGCCCGGGACAAAGGACATGTGCGCCCCTGTGCTGCTCTGACCCTTGTCACCTAGGCTGCGCCCAGGTTAGGAAAGCCAGCCGCACCCTGCAGTCCAGCAGCAGCTCGTCTTCGGTACCCTGTGTGGTCCCAGGGAAGGGCCTGGAGGGAGAGTCAGGAAAAGCCTGGCCCCAGAAGAGAGGACGGACACAGAGGGCCCAGGAGGCCAGCTGGGGCCCATGGGACAGGCGGAGCTGGAAGAAGAGCACAGCAGCCCTGAGCCCCAGCTTCTGCCTAGGCCGGGTCCACCCAGAGGAGGGACAAAGTGGAACAAGAGGAGGAGGAGCTGACAGATGAGGATTTTCGGAACCAGAAAGCAAAGTGAAGTACTCTAGTCTTACCAAGTATTTTCTAAAGAAAAGGCTAACCAGCTGTGGTGGAGCACGCCTGTAAGCCCAGCCCTCAGGGAGGCTGAGGCAGGAGGGTTCCAAGTGGAAGCACAACCTGAGCAATTTAGGGAGACCCCAATAAAATATATATATATATATATATATATGTGTATATATACACACATACTCAGGATATAGCTCAGTGTGGAGGCCCTAGGTTCAATCTCCAGTACCAAATAATTAAAGAAAGTTAAAATTTAAAGAACACCACAAAACCCAAAAGTGACGTGTGAATTGCCAGGACTTGGTTTCCCTGCAGTGAGGCAGAGTGGCTCGAAAGCAGCCCACGGAGATTATGAGACACTGTCCAGGAGCCCGGGTGGTCGCTGGGATTTCAATGAAATAGGATTCACTTAACTTATTTACAATGCAGTTTTACACCTCTTACGTAGCACACTCTCTGGATTGCTTTTCTTTAAAAGAGACTTTCTGCTGGCTTACAATTACTGGGGAGGCCCCGTTCCCCAGCTCTCGGTTAGGAAATCCTGCTGCCACAGGGACCTGAGTGTGGCCCTTGTGGTGAGCCTCTCAGACAGGGCATCACCCCCGACCATGACGGCCCCAGGACTGCTCCGTGCTGTCTCACAGAGCGAGCCTCACCAGCTACCTCACGCGTCCGCCCCATGCCTGCACCCTGAGGGGCCCGTCCTGGCCCTGAGTCTCTCCTCAAGCCCAGGAGGCCCTGCAAGAGCACGAGTGTGCCCTGAGCCAGCAGGCAAAGTGGGGCCTGGCTCTGAGTTACAAAAGGGCTGTAAATTCCACCAGCTGGAGTTGTAAACCTAAATATGAGGGGCGATCCACAGACATGGTGCATGTTAAAAGTCTGTGACAAATCTTACTACAGTAAAGACATGGCGTCGAGAACAATGGGATAAGTGTGTTCATAGGGTGAGAGAGGATTTGAGGATTTTAAGGGGAGATTAACGGCAAAGTGTCTTTTATTGTAATAAATTTTTAAAATTTAAACATTAACTGTGTCTTGTGATCACTCTTCACTGATCAACCATTTATGGGAATTTCTGTCAAGTAAAAACACAACACTGCGTCCTCATCCACCTTATTCACCAGATCTGACACTGTGGCACTCCTGGATCTTTCCCAAAGTCAAAATGACCATGAGAGGTCAATGCTTCCGATCCATTCAGGACATGGAGGCAGCCAGGACAGCACAACTAAAGACCCTCAGGAAAGAGGACTCCAGAGCTGCTGCAGAAAGTGGCGAGGACCATGGGGTGAGTGCGTTCAAAGGGAGGGGGAGGATTCTGAGGGAGATTCATGGCAATGTGTCTTTCCCTCCAAGAATTTTTTTTAAAAATTAACATTTATCATATTTTTTGATCACAGCAACAAGTGGGTGTCTTGCCAATGTGACACATTTTGAAAACAGTACTCAGAACCAAGACACCAAAAGACACAAGGCAACGCCCTGAGTCAGGCCGACAAAACACTCCCTGAGCGGACGCCAAGTGTCCGCCTCCCTCCACAGAGCTGCGATGCTCTTCCCCAGGCCGTGGAGCTGGTGGCCCTGGAGCAGAGCTGTGCTGACAGGTGCAACCTCGGGACAGGGCTGTCAGGGTGCAGGGCAGAGGAAGGGGGCCCCGCCTCGCCCGCTGTGTCCTTCGCAGATGGGAAATGCACTGCTGGCCAGGTGTGTGGCCGCCTGGAGCCTCTTAGCCGCCCAGTGTCTTCCCCGCCTGGTTCCGAATTTGAATCTTAGCTGCCAAGAACCAAGAGATGTTCTGCACGTACGTACAGAGCTTGGAAAAGTCACATTAAACATGCAACCCTGAATTACCTGTGCGTGCTTTGAGACCCAGTGGCGGAGGACGTTCAGGACCCGATTGGTGGCCGTCCTGCGTATGATGAACTCTTTGTCACACGTTCTCTCCATGTTGTTGAATCCTGAGGAGGAAAAGAAGTACAGGCCATGGTCAGAGCCAGGCCCCAGAAAGAGATCGCTCATTTTGGGAGACTGATCGTGGAACTCGCGGAAGACGCGTCCTGGCAGAGCGGCGGTGGGCTGAAGACACCGGGTGCCACTCACTGCTATCTTCTGGGCAGGGAGCCCGGGCCACAGGGCAATGACGGGAAGAACGTGCACGTGTTACTCAGGGAAAGCTGCAGCCACCCGAACGATGCTTCCATTGCCCCCGCCTCGCTCCACAATGCAAAGCCAAGAAGCAGGTTTAACAAAGCTCTCGAGCAAGTGTTAATTCAGACTCATGGCCAAAGCCACTATGTAATGTTCTGAATATCTGTGGACGAGCTCATACCTAGGCTTGGAGATGACACCAGTACTCTACTGTAGATCCATATGGGAAGCAGAGCAGCACAGTGCTTAAGGACATGTGTGTCAAAAGTGCTAAAATGGCAGATTTCAAATGTTTTCACCACAAAAAATTATAAGTGTGTGAAGTCCTAGGTTTATTAGCTTGATTTAATCATTTCATAATGATGATCTGTATCAATGCACCACATGGAATCCCATAAATATACAATTTATACAATTAGTATTTGTCATTTAAAATAGAGCAAGTGTTCTAAAAGCCAGACCTCTTGGGTCAAGCTGCTGTGCCCCACCTGGCCGATCCCATCGCTTCTCTGGTGTCCAGCTCATCGACGCCTGTGTGAGCTGATGAACTGTCGTGAGACTGCACTCGTTAATTAATACATGTTCGGCATTTAAAACGGGGCCGAGACAGTAGCCAGAGCTCAGTAAACACTAATTTTGTCACAGTTCGATGTTGATCCCGATCTCTTTATTTCCTGCAGTGCTGGAGACAGAACCCAGGGCCCCCACCCCGCCCAAAGAGCCACACACCAGCCTGGGGCAGGCCCTCTGCCCTCCTCACTCCCGGGAAATCACTTTCATGCCATCTGGCTTACTGTGTGCTAAGGTTCTGCCACCCGATCATAATTAAACGACACATTTCCTTTAAAAAAATGAACACGTACCTGGCTAGGCGTGGAGCTTGGTGGTAGGGCACACACTACCATGTACAAGGCCCCAGTTCTATCTAGGTTCAATCAATCTGAGTCAATAAATGTAAAAAGTTCATACTTCTTGAGAGTGGTCTGGACGGGTTGGTTTCCTGCTCTCTGGCCCTCTCTACGCGTGGTTCCAAGCCTCCCGCCCATCTCACTTTCAAGACAGCTCCCGGGAAAGTCCTCAGTAACCTCCATGCTTCTACAGCCAGGGCCACTCTGCGACTGTCCCCAGGAGCTCTCTCACTCCACCACTTGCACTTGAACCTGTGAGCAAATGACACATTCATGTCCCAGACCCTCATATCCAATCCTCTTGCCCTTCTCCTCTTTGATGTCTCTGATACCCCTCCAAGCTCAGTATGTTCTAAAGAAAACCCATGGCCGTTCCACCACATCTGCTCCCTCTCATGTTGCTGTTCAAGTAAAGTGACAGCTACACAGGCCTGGGACTTTGGCCTCCTCCCAGCTCTCTGCTGCTCCTCGCGATTTTCCCTGCTAAGTCAGTCTCAAATCTATGCCTTTCTGTCTAGAGCCCACATGGGGGGTGAGCTACCAGCAACCCTCATCTGGCTCACTGTGGTGCCTCCCAACTCGCCTCCAGTTTCATTCCTGCCAGCTCAGATCTGTTCTCTTCACTGGAATCAGAAAGATCTCTCCAATGGCAAACAGGATGTGTCATTCCACTGTCCACGGCCTTTCCGTAGCCCTTCTGATAAATACGAAACTCCTAAACACGGTCTACGAGGTCTTCCATGGTCTGGTTTTAGTTTCTCTCAGCCTTTCCTGAAACAATATTCTTCAATTTCTGTGCATCTCTCCCCCGTGACCCCGGTGCCCCTGCCTTCCTGCTGCATACCTGGAACAATCACCGTGCTCCTTTCTACTCAGTGAGAAGTCACTCGCCCTTGCTGCATCTGTTATGGCCTCAGATGAGCCTTTCCTGGCCTCAGTCGGACAAATCTCCCGTTACATTTCTCACAGCTGCACAGCCCTTTACTCCACAGCACTTACCACACGTGCGGTTTCATATTTGTACGTGTGATTATCTGATCAATATCTGTGTCCGCCATGAAGAGAGGGATCCTGTTAATTTTCTGCTGAGCAGGGGGATCTGTCTGGCATGCAGCGGATGCCATGCCTCATATGTATTTGCTAAATGAATGAATGGAATCCTGGACAGTAGACATTTAGTGAATGAGAGGTGAATGTGAGACGGCTGGGCGGGGACTGCAAGAGCAGTCCGCAGCGCTCGTGCGTGAGTTGGGCAAAATCTCTACCTTCTAACAAGCAGAGGCCCTTCTTCCTCCCCTGAACATGCACAGGCGCCTTCCACCCACAGGAGACATTTAAGTTCTGTCAGAGAATGGTGACGATATGATCTTGGCAAACGAGAGATCTTGAAAAAAAATTTTTTATTGAAAACTTGGAAATTCTGAGTTAAATATAAAAAACATCACTCAAAATGTTTAGCTGAATCCTCAAAAAAAGGAATTCTCCAGAGTCAAATACACAGAAGAACCTGAAAGCCAGAACCAAGCCTCAGAAGGGAAGCTGGCTGCCATGCAGGGAAGGGAAGGGCCCCACGAATGGTAACTCCAGATCTGGGTTATAATGTCCATGTGGGTGGGAAGAAGGAGCCCCCAGGCCTTCATGAGGAGTGGGTACCACAAGGGAAACTGAGGATCCAGCATAAAGATGGAACTCTCAATAGACCACCAGCTGTGAAAGAGTGAACTAGGAAAAGCACTTCACATACAAGGGAAACAACTGGGAACCTCATCTGGACTGGAGGTGTACCTCAGTGGTAGAGCATTTGCCTAGTATGGGCAATGTCCTGGGTTCCACCTCCGACAATCCCCTTCCTCATAAAAAAGAAACTTGCCCACATCAGTGGGAATGATGGGGAAAAAACTCTCTTGAGAACTGGTAGCCATAGGCTATCCATGTTGGACTCAAATTTGGATTAAACAACTAAAGCCCCTGAAGAAAAACACACAATGCAACATTACAACACAAACCATCCACTATGAGCAAAGATCAGTCAACATAGCGTCAGCACCCACAAAGCTGCACCATTGCCAAGAATTCCAGACTAGAGAGCTCTAGTTTAAATATTCTAAAATTAGGATGTTTACAAGCATGAAGGGTATAAAAGTGAGCACTGAAAACATGACCAAAGAATAACAAATATTTTAAGAGATTTTATAAAAACCACACAAAACTTCCTACTTGCTACTAACAGCAGGTAAGAAAATAGAAATAAAATTATTCTTTCAAATATTACTGACAATTTTATAGTTGAAAATCAAGGCTCAAAAGAGAAATAAGCACAAATTAGGCCCCACTGAATAAGCAATGAGTACACTGGAAACGTGTTTGAAAAAAAATGGATCTGAGAAAATTACCCCAAATGCAGCAAAAAGAGCTAGATATAGAAAATAGAGGAGAGAAGAGGGCCAGGAATTCAGCTCAGTGGCACTGTGCCTGCCTCACAAGTACAAGGTCCTGAGTTTGATCCCTGGTACCACCCCCCCAAAACAACAACAACAACAACAACAACAACAACAACAACAAAACAACAGAGAGCGAGATATTTTCCTGTTTATATTAAGATATGGATGATAGACTTAGAACTTTCAATTTATATTTAGTAAGACTGTTAGAAAAAAGTTTTTAAAAGGAAAACAAAACAAGCAAACAAAAAAACAGAGGCAATATAGGAAAAGTATTTTAAGGCCTTGATGAAAGACATGGATCTACAGGTCCAGGAATCACAGTCAGGAAGACCACACCTAGACACACTGTGAAATAACAGTGTCTCAACACAAAGATCCCTTTGGAGCCACCAGCAAGAAGAGTTATTTTGTTATATCTAATGATAAAATAGATGAAGGGATTGAGAAGTGGTGGCAGTTTATTGTAAGGTGGGTTAATCAAAGTGGGACAGAGGCCTCCACAGGAGTCAGAGGTGGGGAAGAAGAAGTAGCCAGGATCTTGCTGAAGGATGAAAGCTGAAGGATTTTGAAATACTGAAGAAGCGGATAGGGCAGAGGTGCCCTGCCAGAGCTATAGATGATAGATAGATAGATAGATAATTAGTGAGAAGACAAAAGAATGAGTTGAGTGAAAGATGGAAAGGGGGAAGGGAAAATGAAAACCTGGAAATCAACAGGAAATGATGAAAGACTTGGTTAAAGAGCTGCTGCTTCTACCTCTACTGGTCCATCCATGCCTGGATCAGTGATGGGGATGGGGGGCATCTACTTTGAAAGACAGGCCATCAAATAGAAGGGCATTTCTACTGCTCTCCAAATGACCCAGTGTCACAGGCTTAAAGACCATGGAAGGAGTTTTCTTTATCAAATTTCCAGTATACCCATAAATTCAAATTTCAACTGCTATTACCATTTTAGATTAGGATTTGATGATACTGCTTGGCTGTTTTTATTAACTGATTTGAACAACTTTGCTCTTTGTGTATTTTTAAGATCAAAGCTTGATACTCTCACAATCTCTCTGCTGTTCACAGCTCACTATGTTTACCACTCTCAGGGATCAGAATTCTTAGAAATTAACCAGACACTTACATAAATGGTCTTCAGCAATGCTTCTCAGTCAGCAAGGCTGGAGCAATCCACAAATCTAGTGTGGAGGTAACCAGAGTAAATGATCAGCCACAGGCAGGCACAGCCTTCCAAGTGCTATGGAATCACCAAGAACCAGGCACAAGAGACCTCAAAGACATCCCTTGGGCCTCACCACTCACATGGAGGTCCAACCCTGAGCTGATGTGGCTGTAGAACAGGCCAGAGGTACAGTGTGGGGCAAATTAACAACCTGTCTGTGACTCAGTTTCTCCACTTATACAAGGAGAACAGTACTATCCTACTTAAAGATCAGTCATTCCTACAAAA